AGTTTGGCTTCATTAGATGACTCATGCATCGTGACAAAGTTGCATGCTGGCTTGGACTGAACATAAGCAGCTTTATGAGCTTCATTAACTTGATTATGGTCATGCTTAGTTTCATTAACTTCTAACAATAAGATATTTGAAATCGAAAGATCGATTGAAAAAGAGAGAAAGGAGATATCGGGGAAGACGAAGAGAGAAAGAAGGAAAATATATTATTTCAGAATGAATAAATTGTTTACAGAATGTGAAGGAAAAACATATTTATACTAAGCATATTACATACTAAAAGTGTCACTCAATAATAGCGACTTATAAAGCTAAGTACAACTCTGTTTTATCAGGTCAAAATACAAAAATGCCCAAGTAATGTATATACACTAATAAATTGAATTTAATTTTGTGACGAAGGTTAACGTATTTAATTTAATGCGAACTTTGACAATCACAACATCACCTGGTGCAAAGTTTACCACCTCATAAGTTTTTAGTACGTACCTTCCAAATAGATGATAATCTAATTAAGTGCCCAATCATTTGAACTAATAGAAAGATGTGCTCTTTTACAATATTTTAAATATACTTTAGTCTTTTTTATATTTTCCACTTTGTATAGGGGATGAATCATTTTTATCTTATTCACCTTTTCTTGTTCGCCAACGAGAAAACCAATACCTAATTCTACTATTCCCTTATTTATATTTAACATTTTATATTCTATTTGTACGTGAAAACCATTACCTAATTTTACTATTCCCATATTCATATTTAACATTTTATATTCTATTTATTTTTATTGCTAGATATAAATATAGTGTGTGTGTGTTATAAAGTTGTTGTTTGGCTGATGTAATGATTACACATGTCATAATATTTTAACATATATATATACATATTTTCAAACTGAAATATCTTACACTGAAATAAAATATAAATAAAATTATAACATAAATAAAATTATAACATTTATAGCACAAGTATATTAATTTTGTTATAAAATTATAATACAGTTAAATCGCATCAATTTACGTATGAATTAACAAGGCTTAGCTAGCAATTGGATATTTACTTGGAAGTGGAACTAATATTGACCGACTTAAATAAGTAATTATTGTCGAGCCTCCAAAAATTAAAACTAATGTAATGTGCCACATCAATAGAAATAATTGGGTATCTTATCTTAAGATTCAAATGCGGCAGCATATATTATAAAAAGAATAGAAATAACAAATAAAATAAAATAAAATTTGAATGAACAGTTGGAGGGGCACCAGGACAAAAAAGCCCAACAGCTTGGTTACTTGGTAGGGTTTTTATTTTTTTTTTTATTTTTTTTTATTTTTTTATTGTGCCCTTCTTTTTAATCAAACTCAGAGTGGCTCTCTTTTGAGGGCCACACTTCATTTTCCTTCATTTCTTTTATCCTGATATATTGATTTTTTTTACTAATTCAATTGTTGCTTGAGATTAAAAAAAATAATAAAACATCAATTACATATTTTTCAAATAAACAATTCTAAAATTTTCGAAATATGTGAAAAATTATAATTAAGGGAATGTAATATTTTTTGGTAGAGGAAAATGAGGGGTGAGGGACTGGTTCACGATGGGTGTTGGTGGTTTAGGTAGCAATTTTCTGTCCTTTCTATTGACCCCATCCTTTAGATTCCTGTCCCCATCTCTCTAATTTTTTTTATTTTTTTTAAATTTTCACTACTCTTACTATATATATAATGCATATTGTAACATTTTTTAATATTAATTTAACTCAATTTTTTTGCATATTTGGGAGTTTTGATATAATGTATTAAAAGTTACCGTTCAGATCAATCTCTCAAATAAGAGAATGACACGTGTTACAAATATAATTACATTTGAAGATGTGAAAACTTAGATATTACTATCATTGGTATTGTTGATACCGAACTGAGATGCCCAATAATATAATGACACGTGTTACAAAAAATCATAATTAGATTTGAAGATGTGCAAAATCGATTTCAGAGGCATTTTATTTCCATACTATCGATTAGGGGTGTTCACGGTCCGGTTTTAACCAGAAAAAACCGTCAATCCGGACTGCGGATTGGTTAAATGGTCAGTTAAAAAAGCCTTAAAAAATCCGGTGGTTAATTTTTTTAAAAATTCGGAATAACCGGTCCGGTTAATGGATTACCTGCGGCAAACCGCCGGTTTAACCGGACCGTACCGGTAAATATTAAGAAACTATAACAAATATATATATACATTCAGTCATTCACTATGACCGACAAATACAATACATTCACTATGAATGCTTTGCTCTTGTTATTTCAGGTGTATAAACTGACTGAAAAATGAATGTTTGCTTGAGTTCAGTTTGCATAATTAATCTTCATCATTTTTGTATTTTTATGTTTATGGGAGGAAATGTGCATTTTTATGCTTATGAGACGAATTGTGTACTTTTTATTTCATTATTGTTGTTTTTCTTAATTTTTAAGCCCAAATAATCTCTTTAGGACCCAAAATTGAAAAACAAAAATTAAGCCCAAAATGAAAAAAATAAAAATTGAAGGCCCAAAACAAGTTTTGGATTTAACCGGTTAACCGTCAAACCGGACCGTACAATGCGGTCCGGATTGTGGTCGGTTAAAAAATAAAACCGGTCCGGTTATGGACAAGAAAAAAAATTAACCGTTAGGTCCGGTTTGGTCATGGTGTGGGCTAAAACCGGACCAATCCGGACCGTGAACACCCCTACTATCGATCTTTCTTAATTGAAAAAAACACAGAGCTCGACTCGCTATAAAAAAAAGTCAATGGTGCAGACTTAAAGCAAATTAAAATCTGAACCCAGTCTTTGTTATTTATACACTTCTCAACAAATTATATAAAACTCTTACAAAGCAAATTAACAATATAGTAAATTTCTCATTTTTCCAAAACCATAAAATCTGAATCCCATAAGTGGAAGAATCAATAGATTAAAATAAAACAAGTTTCATTGACAACTGTCTTTGTAAGGAGAAAAAAAAATAAAAAAACTGCAGCCACTTTCACATCATAAAATATGCAAATTGCAATCACTTTCTTTTATTTATTAATTGTTGTCCCCTAATTAAAGTTTTTTGAGTACTGTTTCTGTTTTATCACTTTTATGTGACTTGCAATAAAAGCAAAATCTATTAATGAAGAGAAAGATAAAATGTAACTCACCTTCCAAATGGACATATTCTTCTCCCACATCGAAGCCAACAGTTCCTGTCTTCATAGTTGAGTTAATCTTTTATATACAACAAATAAATCTATCATATTAATACAATTATATTAATGTTATTTAAGTAATTAGAGAATATTGTAGGTTTATTTATTGTATATGGAAGGTTGGCTCCACTATGGAGCCAACTGTTAGCTTCATAACAAAATCGTTGGTTAGAGTCTCCGGCATTTGGCGGAGGCCTATGATTTAATTTGAATGACTCAAATTCAAATAGTTAATTATGGTCGTTTATTAAATTAGTCAAATTTGTTCACTAACAGTTTGCTTTTTTATTATATATATATTTAATCTTTTTTATGGATTTTGAATGAACAGTCGAAACGAATACTTTTACAAGTGGACATTTTTTATTTGCGAACAACTTATTTAGAATTTGAATTTATTGTATTAGTTGAGTTGAGCCGAATCAAGTTTTCACGAACTTCAACGAATCAAGTCCAAGTCAAGTCATTTTTAAACAAGCACGTACTTAAACATGAGCTACTCAATTTTGCTCAATTCCAACACTTGCACTTTCTTTTCATCCAACTTGTACTAAAGAAAAATGTATTAGTATAGGNTAGGGAAAAAAAAAAAAGTATCAGAAACATTTAATATTATTATTTTTCTTCATAAATGTTTACCATATTTAGTTTCATTCTAAAATTTAGAAAAAAATAATTAAATTTTCATATATGTAACCTTCCCAGATCTTAATATCCATAATCAATATACGTGACCTGCCCGGATCGCACATCGGGTTTCTAGTTTCCGGGTCGGATCTTAAATTAATAATGCTCACAAGTCACAACAAAAAATTCTCAGTAGTATCGAACTGTAATAAGTACTAACTACAATTAACCAACTGGTTAAGCTTCCTAAAGCCAGTATTGAATTTCAATTAGTAATTAAGATTGACCAAAATACATTAAAAAAATAAATAATTAAATAAATAAATAAATAAGAGGTGAAAAAAAAATAATAAATAAAAAAGGAAACACATCCACTAATCCACACAGCCCACATAAATGACACTCAAGAAAGGAAAGACCTTTATTTCTTTCTTAAAAAAAGCTGATAAGGTATATAAGTTATATATCCATCAACACAGAAACAAATGCATCTACCTTCTAGCTAGGCTACTTTCCTCTGCCATTATTCTTCTCTAGACATAAACTTCCCTTTTTTTTTTTTCACATAAATC